ACATAACAACAACAACAACAACAACAACAAAAGATGGAAACAACCTAGGTGTCCATCAACTGAAGAATGGGTAACCAAACTATGGTACATACACACACTGTAATACTGTGCAACCATAAAGAATAAGGTAGAATCTGCAAAACACCGTATAATGTGGATTGAACTTGGAGGACGCTATGCTAAGTGGTATAAGTCAATCACAGAAGGACAAATACTGTATTAGTCCATTATTGTAAAAAGTCAAGGAAAGGTTACAGATGGAAAGAAATTTTCTTTGTTGGTTACCAGGAGTAGGAGGTGAGGGGAGGGAACACTGTTAGATAGGTAGAGACAAGTATTGATTTGGGTGAAGAGAAGTGCAATGTACCAAATGTGATCAATACAGTGGCACTGAGGAAGAGGAAGACATAGAGAGGTACATGGGAGGTACAGACTACAAAGATGAATCCCTTTGCACATAGAGTACTGTATTGTCAGTAAAGGCAAACATGGACATATGGGTGGATAGATGGGTGAACAGGCTGAACTATTAGGTATGTGTGTGCAGGAGGGAGTGTGCCCAAGACATTGTTTCTACAAGTGTATTGCTATGTTCTGTAAGAAGTCCCAGGTGTATAGTAGAGCTGATAAGGGATAAGGTTGTAGTCACTTCTTGGCCACAACCAGCTAACCAGAGGGAGTGAGCAGTTGGACCTGTGGGCTTAGGACCATGGTTACAGGTGACATCAAACTCAATTGGCATAACATACTATACAAAACACTGTTCCACATCCTACTTTGGCGAGTACCAACTGGGATCTTAAAAGCTTGCAAGCAGTCATCTAGATGCAACGATGGGTCTCTCCTCGTCCAGAGCAAAGAAGAATGAAGAAAACCAAAGGCTGATGGAAACAATTAGTCCAAGTGACTGGCACACCATGCGATCCTCAGCCTATATGACTATGAGACCAGAAGAACTAGCGGGTGCCCAGCTATCACTATCAACCATTCAGAGGGGGTCTGTGTAGGAGATCCTGGATATACTGGGAGAATAATATGGTAGAAAAGTCTAAATCATTTGGGGGAGGGGGAAGGGACCAGGTTGCTGGTCTGATAGAGACTGGTAGAGCCACTGAGACTGTGGCCCGTAGCTGCCCTTCAGGTCTGGAGTTGAATCTACCCTGTGGCTTCCAGCCAAACAAAAAACAGGCATATGAGGTAAATATTTGCACTGACTAGATACACTCCTTGGAGAGAACAATCATGGGAGAATAGAAGGGCTGTGTATGCACAGGGACATAGCTTGGGGGCCAGGAGTGCAAGAAGGGAAGGACACAGGGAAGAGGTAAGTGTGGGGAGGAGGAAGGAGGGGAGCTGTTGCATTGTGGTAAACTGTGGTCAATGTCATGAGACAAAGTGTATGTGAACTATTGTATGGAGGGTGAATTTGCTCTATAAATTTTCATCCAAATCACAATGAAAAAAAAGAACAGGCATATAAGCTGAACATTTACATTGAGTGGATACACTCCTTGGAGAGGTCAACCATGGGAGAATAGAGGTATTGTGTATACATGGGGAGATGGCTTGGGGTCAGGGATGTATGGGAGGAAAGGACATAGGGAAGAGGTGGCTGTGGGGGGAGAGAGTGTGAGGGGAGCTGCTGCATTGTGGGAGACTTCAGTCAATGTCATGAGACAGTGTATGTGAACTACTGTATGCAAAGTGAATTGGCTCTGCAAACTTCCACCCAAATCACAATAAAAAATTTTTTTTAAAAGAATAAAGTAATTAATACCACCATAGTATAACAACTTTAAATCTCAATAGAAAAATATTTCAGGTTAATAAGAATCCCTCTATATATTTTTTAAGTCTATTTCTTTTTTTTCTCAACAACATACTAATATTCCTTCCTGATATAATACTGACTTAAAATATGTTAATGAATTTCAAAAGTTCCCAAAAGTTTTTAAATAGAAGATTACCAACTGAAAGACTACATATCAAAAAGATCAAAGACTACAGTCTTCAGCATGGATTACAACTCAACATAAAGAAAAGAAAAATCTTCACAACCGGACCAAAAAACATCACAATAAATGGAGAAAAGACTGAAGTTGTCAGGGATTTCATTTTATTTGGATCCACAATCAACACCTATGGAACCAGCAGTCAAGAAATCAGACATCATAGTACACTGGGCATATCTGCTCCAAAAGACATTTTTATAGTGTTAAGAAGCAAAGATGTCACTTTGAAGACTAAGGTGCACCTAACCCAAGCCACAGTATTTTCAGTTGCTTCATATGCATGTGAAAGCAGGACAAGAATAAGGAAAACTGAAGAAGAGTTGATGCCTTGAATCAACTGAAAATACGAGAAGAAGGACCAAAGCTGTCCTGGAAGAAGAGCAGCCAGAATGTTCCGTGGAAGCAAGAATGGCCAGACTTCATCTCACCTACTGTGGTCATGATGCTGTTGTTGTTATTGTTGTTATGTGCCGTCGAGTCAGCCCCGACTCATAGCGACCCCTCCTTGGGTTTCCAAGGCAGTATCACTACAGAAGTAGGATTGCCCAACCTTCCTTCCAAGGAGTGGCTGGTGGGTTTGAACCGCCAGCCATCTGGTTAGCAGGCAAGTGTCTTAGCCACTATGCTACCAGAGCTCCCGTCATGTTGCTAGAAGGGACCATTTCCCGGAGAAGGATACCATGGCTGGTAAAGTAGAGAGTCAGTGAAAAAGGGAAAGACCCTCAATGAGATGGACTAACATAGCAGCTACAACAACAGGATCAAGAATAGCAAGGATTTTGAGGATGGAGCAGGACAAAGCAGTTTTTGTTCTGTGGTACATAGGGTCTCTATGAGTCAGAGTCAACTCGACGACACCAAACAACAACAACCACCACCAAGTGAAACTTTAACTTTATTTCATAAGGGGGCAGGAGATGATAAAATCAACTTACCCTTTCTGTCACAGAAAACTGATGAGTGTCTGCTGATATTTTATATGTATGTAGTTTTGTTGGCACAACTGTAATAAAATATTGGAACATCTGGTTGTCTGAAATAAAAAGAAAACCTGTTTTTTTCATCAACCCAGTAGCAACAAAACTATTGCCAAATATATCCTTCTTCTATTTAACCTGAAATTTAATGTTACTTACAACTTAGTATAACATTAAAAAAAAAGAAAAATTAAAGAAAGAACCAATGAAAGCAATATACTCACACTTGGTAAAATCAGTTCTAAGTAAGCATAAAATAAGCATCAAAAAAATAAATAAATAAGCATACACACATGTATTTATTGATTGTTGTTTTGTTGTTGTTAGGTGCCATCAAGTCAGCTCTGACTCACAGTGATTCCATGTACAACAGAACAAAACACTGCTCGGACACATATATTACAAGATGTTAAAAAAGATGGAACTAGTGACTTACATATCCTTTATAATTCTCATCATCCTTTTATGTAATATGGAAAACAGATGTAGTTCTTCATAGTACAGAAACTACTAAGAGTAAAATAAAGTTACGTAGCATAACTACCAGAAGACAAATATTCTAAGTAAAACATCTAAAATGTATCTGACTATAAAACTTTGCTAAGGGAGTAAAATATTAAAAAAGAATATTAATCTATTTAAATTAATTAAAATTTAAATCATTAATTTTGTAATAGCAGAGGAAGCTTTAGAATTCCTTAAAAGGTTTGATAAGTGAGACATGTCATATAATGTGACTAAAAACAGGAAGGCAATCAAAAACCTTCAGGAACCATGAGAACAGACACATACTACAAAACTAAGAAATAAGCTTTCCATGTTGGAATAAACTACTGTAATAAATGGAGTCAAAAGTTAAAGAACATTAATCAAAGGTATCTATGCTATATAGTAAGGAGCTCTGGTAGCACAGTGTATAAGGCATTTGATTGCTAACCAGAATGTTGGCAGTTCAAATCCATGAGGTGCTCCACAGAATAAAGATAGTGCAGTGTACTTTCATAAAGATTTACTGCCTCAGAAATCCAATGGGGGTCGCTATGAGTCAGAATCAACTCAATGGCAGGGAGTTTGGTTTTTGTTTTATGCTACATAGTAGTATTTCCAATGTTTAATGACTAGGCCATTGTGGAATAATTCTAGGTTTCTGATATTTGTAAAGTTCTTCAAAAAGGTCTCTAAAATTTTAAGTATGAATTTTAAAAATTTGTAACCATCAGAAAGAAGAGAATTCTTCCTAAAATGTTGAAACTTTCTTTTGTTCTTATTCTTTCTCTGGTGAATATGCAGAAGCATAGCTGCATCCTATTAACACATTAATCTTTCATGTATTTAGAGACTGTTTAAAATCTACTCCTGATTCTGCCTACTTTCAATGCTAATTTCTTTATTCTCTCCTATGGCTCATTTCTGTCATGATTTCATTCTTCTTGGATCAACAATCAATGCTTCTGGAAGCAGCAGTCAAGAAATCAAACAACATATTGCTCTAGGCAAATATTCTGCAAAAGACTTCTTTTAAGAATTATAAAGGAAAGATGTCACTTTGAGGACTAAGGGCATCTGACCCAACCCATGGTACTTTCAATCACCTCATATGCATGTGAAACCTGGACAATGAAAAAGAAAGGCCAAAGAAGAAATGACACATCTGAATTGTGTTGCTGCTGAAGAATACTGAATATACCATGGACTGCTAGAAGAATGGAAGCTCTGGTGGCATAGTGCCTAAGGCATTTGACTGCTAACCAGAAGGCTGGCGGTTCAAACCCACCAGCCACTCCTTGGGAGGAAGGTTGGGCAATCTACTTCTGTAGTGATACTGCCTCAGAAACCCAAGGAGGGATCGCTATGAGTTGGGTCTGACTCAACGGCACATAACAACAACAACAGAAGAACAAACAAATCTGCTCCTCAAGTACAGCCAAACTGTTCCTTAGAAGTAAGCTGGCAAGACTTCACCTCACATACGTTGGATATATTATTAGGGAGGACCATTCCCTAGAGAAGAACATCATACTTGGTAAAGTAGAGGGTCAGTGAAAAGAAAAAGACCCTCAACAAAATGGACTGACACAGTGGCTACAAAATCAGGCTCAAACACAGCACTGACTGTGAAGAAGATGATACAGTGGGAAATATTTCATTCTGTTAGACATAAAGTCACTATGAGCACCTAACAATAATGGCTCATTTTTAACATTCAAATTTCAGCTGCTACTAAGACAAACCTTTTCCACACACATCTCATTCACCAACCAACTTGAAGATCTTCTTTACAAAGGAGTTAGGAGAGGAGTAGTAAAAATGTATTTAGTTGTTAGAAGAACAATTTCCTGCATGCAAATATAAAAAAAAGATTATAAAATACTTACGATCTACAGCAATTTTTTCAGTTCCATCTAAAGGATTAATAATTCCTGGGACAAGCTCTCCAAAAGACAAATGATCTATTCGATGAGAAAAGTTGTAAGCTAAGAGGAGAAAATAAAACCAACTAAGCAGGGCAAGTACATTATTCAAAACCAAATGTTAGAGACTGGTTTATAATCTTATCCATCTTCAAATAAAAGTATCTAAAATCTGTGGTATAACATATTATTTGAAACCACATTATTTTGAGAAAAATGCATATAAATATAGTAAAAATAACTAATATTAAATGTATAAGGTAAGTAAATTGTGATAAAATGCTAAATCTCAAAAATTCAGAATTACACACAAATTAACTTCTAAGAAATGATATTACATCTAATCTGGTTATCTAAAAATATAGTCTTACTGGTCTAAATCATTATATAGCTAAAGATCTACATTGTTTGAACAACTGGTATGACCTTCTTCCTGTAGCCATAATAAAACTGCTCATTATTTGACACACTTTAATATGTATCACTGCTAATATGACCAAACTATATTTCTTATGGAATCTCTTACTTTTGTTCACTAAGCAGACTTGCTAACTTTCATGACAATCATTACACTAAACTAACTTGAATACTTTATGTGTACAAGTATATATGTATGTATTTAGATTACAAATTAAACTTAATATGTTTTTTATTATCCATACAAATTAGTGAAAACATGTACAAAGTAATATAAAATCCACTTAAGCTTTCCTTCCTACCTCAGCAACTTCTGAACTATAACCAACTAGAAATAAAGATAGCTTGAAGACACAAGAAAACGGATTAGAGTCAATAAATATAATCATTTATTTTCTCCTTTGGATATCTGTTTTCAGAGCAGCTGACTTTCACAGCCCTACCTTGTACATAAACTAAAATTAAAACACACACACACAAGTTTCTTTTCAAGGATATCTTCACTGAAAAAATTTCAGAAACTGCTTACAGTCATGGTTGACAAGTGCTGCCAAATGTGCATGACCTCGGGGATGTGGAATTGCCCTGAAAGGAAGGAAAAAAAGAGAAAAGTGAGGAATAATATTCTAATATCTAATTAAAATCAGAAAATGGATTTTTCTTAAAATGTAATTTTTCACAACAAAAAACAATGTAAGAACGTATTTGGCCTATAATTTAAGTAGAAATGTCCATCTCATCAATGCAATAAACTGAGGTGGGGTGCCAAATTTTCTCTGTAAAGAGCCGTATTATAGGTTTTGTAGGCCAAGATGCAATATCAAGGATATTATGTACTTATTAAAAACCAAAAAACCCACAAACTCACTGCTATCAAGTCGAACCCGACTCATAGTGACCCCTCCTTGGGTTTCCAAGGTGGTGTCTCTATGGAAGTAGATTGCCCAGCCTTCCTTCCAAGGAGTAATTGGTGGGTTTGAACTGCCAGCCTTCTTCTGGTTAGCAGTCAAAATGCCTTACTTAGGCATTATGCTACCAGAGCTCCTATCTACTTATTAAGATAACAAGAAAACAAATTTCACAATTATTTTAATTGATTAAATTCAAAATACAGTAAAACTTGAGAACAATTTTTTTTATAACATAGCTACATTAAGCATAAGAATGAAATTCTTTGCCTCACAGAAAACACACTTTAATTGTGATTTAGAGTTACCGTTCCCTATTTTCTAAAAAGATCGCAAATGTGTACCTATTAATGGTGATCTCTTATGAGATTTTACAAATTTCATCTTTGAATATATTAATCCATAAGCATATATCACAATTGAGTATATTCATTGCTTGGAAGGCATTTACAGAACTTTGTAAATTTTTTCTCTCGATATTTGCCTTTTAACATGTCATTACATTACAGACTGAAAACCAAGAACTATAGCTATTGAGTCAATTTCACTTACAGTGACCCTATAAAAAGAATGGAACTGCCCCACAGGGTATCCCAGGCTGTAAATCTTTACAGAAGCGGACTGCCACATCTTTCTCCTGTGGAGCGGCTGGTGGGTTCAAACCACAACCTTTTGGTTAGCAGCTGAATGCTTTTAACTACTGCACCCCCAGGGCTCCTTCACTGCAGATTATTCACTTCCGATTAAAATTAAGGCAAGAATTCCTGGACTGCATTTATAATAGCAAAAAGATGGAAACTACCTAGGTGACCATCAACAGAAGAATGGATAAACAAACTATGGTACATACACACAACGGAATACTATGCAACACTAAAGAACAATGTAAAATCTGTAAAACACTGCAAAAGGCAGATGAACTTGGAGGACATTATGCTGAGTGAAATGAGTCAATCACAGAAGGACAAATATTGTATTAGTTCATTATTGTAAAAAGTCAAGGAAGGTTTATATATGGAAGGAACTCTTTGCTGATTACCAGGGATGGGAAGGGAGGGGAAGAAACACTGTAAATATAAAAAATAAAATTTAAAAATAAAAAATTACTAGGAAAAAAAAAAGAGTTCCTGGATTGCACAGTTAAATGTATTATGAAATATGGCAATTTCCTTTGCACTTGCATCAAGGTCTAAAAACACAGCTGGAACTACAGTTTGGGCACATGAAATATACCCAAGTGTGCTATATGAAATATCTGGAATAGGCAAATGCATAGAACAATTCTACTGGTGGTTACCTGAGCTGGGTGGGAAGGGTAATGGGGAATTATTGCTTAAGGTATATTGAGTTCTGTTAAAAATGAGGAAAAAATTTGGTAACAGTGATGATGGTTATATAACATGGTAAATGTAATTAATGTCACTGAAAATTGTACAAATAAAAATGGTTGAAATGGCAAATGCTTTGTTATATATATTTTATCATACACATATTAAAAAAACAAACAAACATCCAAAGTGTGAGAATGGAGATTTTGTGTCTTGTTTTAACTATGGACAGCATACCACCAAAGCAACTGCCACTGAGTTGATTCTGACTCATAGTGATCCTACAGGGCAGAGTAGGCTGTAAATCTTTATGGAAGCAGCCTGCCATGTCTTTCTCCCATGGAGCTGCTGGTGGGTTCAAACTGCCAACTTCCTGGTTAGAAACCAACCTTTTAAGCACCGCATCACTAGGGTTCATTACTGACAGCACAGGCAGTATATAAAGCAGCTTGACATTACCTGTCACTGATAAAATCCTATCACAGTCTAAGTTTCATATACAAGCATAGTTTTTAACTTGTAATTTCAGGTTAAATTAATTAAGAAACATCAAATCTGCACAAAAACAATTTCCAAAGCTGTTCAGTGTTTGACAACAGAATTTGACAAAAATTTTTGTTCTTTCGTTGACAAAAAACAGCAGTTCTTGCTCAGAAAATTTCAACCTAAGTCCTGAGCTTAAAAAAAGAATCACGATAAAACTTCACCACTAACCCATCAAACTGCTATGCAGTAGAGCAAGTTTGGATATTCAGTTTTTATTTCTAACAAAGATTCATGGAAATGACAATGATTAAGTTCACCAGACCAAATGAAGTTTATCACTGACAATACTGGTTCAATAAGAATGATAGATTGCTCTAATCTACAGATTTTTAAAATATATCTTAACAGATTCTACGTCAGGTTGTACTGAATTTATGTTCTCTAAACTTCTCTGAGGGAGCTCTGGTAGCGTAGTGCCTAAGGCACTTGAGTGCTAACCAGAAGGCTGGTGGTTCAAACCCACCAGCTACTCCTCAGAAGGAAGGTTGTTGGGCAATCTACTTCTGTAGTGATACTGCCTTGGAAACCCAAGGAGAGGTCGCTATGAGTCGGGTCTGACTCGACGGCACATAGCAACAACAACAACAAACTTCTCTGAAAAATGTTCTGGCCTGTAGAGTTTCCACAAAGGCTATTCATAGGGGCTCATTCTTCAGTCAGTACAAGCTCAGCACTGACTCCTTAAATAAACAACAACTGAGCAGTACTGGTAACATCTGTCAACTGATCAAGAGTCAAAGGAAAACCACTCAAAATCATTTGCTTTGCTACTTTTGTTTTCAATTATTTTGTTGTTGCTGAGAATATACAGAGCAAAACACACCTGAATTTAATAGTTTCTACATGTACCAGTCAGTGACACTGATTACATTCTCAGAGTTGTGCAACCATTCTCACCCTCCTTTTTAGTTGTTCCTCCCTAGTTAGCATACATTCACTACTACCTAAGGTTCCTATCTAATCTTTTGGAGTTGCTGCTGTCATTTTGATCTCACATAAATTGTTCTTAAGGAGCTCTGGTGGCGTAGTGCCTAAGGCATCTGACTGCTAACCAGAAGACTGGCAGTTCAAACCCACCAGCCACTCCTCGGAAGGAAGGTTGGGCAATCTACTTCCGTAGTGATACCACCTCAGAAACCCAAAGAGGGGTCGCTATGCGTTGGATCCAACTCGACAACAGTAAGTTTGTTTTTTGGGGGTTTTTTTAGTATCATTCTTTAATAAAGTATAATACCCAGGTAGACATTTTTACTAAACTATTGGTTGGTTTTAAGATTTCAGGGATATTTTTTGTTTAAGGTTTAAAGACTATCTCAGAGCAACAGTTTCACGGGTTCATTCAGCCTCCATGGCTCCAGGAATTCTATTCTGAACTTTCTCCCTTTTAATCAGGATATTTCTATGGAATGTTTGATCAAAATGTTCCGTAACAGTAGCTGTACATCATCCAGTTCTTCTGGTCTCCTGACAAAGGAGGCAGTTGTTCAAGGAGGCCATTAGCCTCACATTCTCCATCTCCTAATTCCTGACTCTTCTTCTTTCTCCATTGCTCCAAGCAAATAGCGACTAATTGTTGAGACTTAGATGGTCCCCTTACAAACTTTTAAGACCTCAGGCACTACACAATGAGCTGGAAGGTAGAATGGAAGCACTAAACACATTATTAGGTCAATTAACTGGGATGTCCCATGAAACCACTTGCCTCGCTTTTTCAGTGGCTATTAATGCTGTTCTCAATGCCCTCAATTTGGAGCAATTTTTCTTGCTGAAAGGCTAATAATCTTAGAAAGTTTATTTTCTCTGGACACACTTTTTTGGCTGCTGCAATCAAACACAATTTCATTAACTTATCATTAAATGCCTTTCCTTTACCTGGCTTACAAATAAGTCAGTCACTTGGAAACTTTCTGTGGTTGCAGTCTCCTGTTCATTTTTAGGAAAAAATTCTGCTGTGTAGAGATACTCAATTATAATTTTTAAAACATTTTCTGAATATTGCTTTCCAATGAATTACAAATATTCTTATGAGTGCTTCATCTGTTAATGTTCACATATATTGCATTCTTTTAACACAGATATAGTGCATAATAATGTTTTATAGTCAAATTTGATAACAATAATCCATACTCCACTGGGTCTCAAAAAGCATATTTCAAAGTCCACGTTTCTCTTTCTTATTTTGATCTAGCAATAAAAAAATACATAAATTGTTTCAGTACAGCAATAAACATGGTATCTGTAATGCTTCCCCGTTATAACTACATCACCATGAATTGCAGTGCACCAGCCACAGCACAAAGTGATGAGAGAATCACGTACTATCTCTGTCACAATTACTGAACTCTGACAAAGTAATGCAAAAGCAGCCAGATGTAAATAAATTAGCATGGCTGTCTTCCAGTAAAATTTTATGGACACTGAAATTTTAATTTCATATGTTTTTCATATATTGTGACATATTACTATCCTTTTGATTTCTTTTCAATCATTTAAAAATGTAAAAACCATTCTTAGTTCATGTGGCATAAAAAATACGTGGTGAGCTGGATTTGGCCCACAGGTTCCAGTTTGCCTACTCCTAAAATAAATCACGTCCTTTGTTCTTCTATATATTGTTATTATCTGTGCACCTTGAACTAGTTTTTAAAATTCCCTTATATTTTCAGGAATAATTACTATTCTCCCTCATTCTTTTCCCTCATTCCCTCTTTATCTGGTTACCAATTCTAGCAATTAACTAAAAAATTGGTAATAAAAACAACCCAGTAAATGTTTTTGTCTGCTTTCAATTAAATGCCCTACTGGTTCTAAACATTTAATTTGTTCGATACTGTACTCAGCAGAGCAATAGGCACTTAAAAAAAAAAAGTAATAAAAATCCTAGGCAGCAAAATATCTTCGTTATGCACTGGAATTATTAATATTTTGATCTGGTAAAATTCTCTGTATTCATGGTGAGATGACCTTAACTTACTACTAAAAATAAAGTCTATTATCATAGGTTACTATCCTAACTCCACTGACACCAGTACTCTAACAATAATCGTCCTACAGTTTTCATACAGTGCAAATTCAGAGGGAGGAATTTTCTGAATGATCAAGTTACAATATGATACTTTACTACCCAGCATTTTATTTTAAGGGGAACAGAAAACCATCTTAAATTGTACATCATTCTTTTTTCTTTAAAAGATGCACTCAAACATCCATGAAATGACAGCATAAGCAAGTATCTTTCAAGAAATTAAAAATTAAATTACCCTACTACACAGGACTACAGTTCTCTGACACTTTACTATTCATAGGGAGGCCAGATATTCACAATTTACTCTTTTTGTTTTGTTTTGGCACATTGCACTTTCTACCTCTCAGACAGGAATCTATCCTGCTTGATTTTTAGTGGAGGAAAAGTTATTTGAAAATTGTTAAGGGATCAGAGGAGGTACTTCTGGTTATCATATTACGGAACCACTGCTATTGGCATTTCATGAACAGTAGCAAGGCATTCTGCAATGTCTGGGACAAAAAAAGAATTCTTGCTTGACTAAGAGACATTCACCTGTGTAAAAAATCTGTAATTATCTGAGTCTAGAACTTAATTCCATTTTACAAACTACTTTGTTGTGGCTTGTATATTAAGTAAATTTTCAGGAAACTGATTGAGTATTACATAGTCATCCCTTGGTATTTGCAGACGACTGGTTCCCAGATCCCCTGCCCATACTAAAATCCACAGATGCTCAAGTTCCTTACATAAAATGGTACAGTATTTGCATATAACCTACACACATTCTCCCATATACTTTAAATCATCTCTAGATTACTAATAAAACCTAATATAATGTAAATGATATGTAAATAGCACTTTTCACTCTCTTCTTAGACTTTGAGGGGTTGCTTTGACTACTTAATAGCTTTATTCCTGCTCCCACCCCCAAATATTTTCCATCCACGGTTGGTTTAATCCATGCATGCAGAACCTGGGGACATACAGGGCTGACAGTACTTGTTTTCATACCACTACAAAGAGTTGTTCACTGTTACAGAATAGCATCTCATCCACAGAAATGCCATAGTATCTGAGTCGCCAATACATCTGCTTCAGTAAGTATTTGCAGTTGTTGCACCCCTAATGATTCTACATATGGAAGGCAAGCATCTGCCTATTTCATTAGATCTTCTAGTGTATTCATGCTCCAGCATCACTATACTATAAATCATGTTCCACTTATTTTTCTTTTATATTACAGTTGACAATAATATTGTATCTGACAGGCAAAACGAGTTCTTCAAAAAGATCAATACTGAACTTGAAAAACTTAATACCAAAAATTAGGACTGGGCTTATAAAACGTTCCTAAGATAATACATACCAAATGCTTTTAAATTCTGCCTCTCTTACTCATGGTATGAGTTATTATATGGGGAGAGAAGCAAATTTGGGAATAGGCCCAATGTGAAAAAAAAAAGCCAGAACATAGACTTATAACATACTATCAAAGTTTCCTTCTTTCAGTTAGTCTTGGATTAGGGAGTTATTTGCATTCAATGGTGCAAAAAATTTTCCAAATTTTTTTGAGGCAAAGACTATGTGCTGCTACCTTTATGACATCTAGAGATTCCAAGGTTCCCAACTACAAGGTAGAGAAGCAGATAGAAAGGGTCCTGGCAACAATAACAAAACATAGAATTTTAAGGAAAAAACCAAAACCAAACCCACTGCTGTCAAGTCCATTCCAACTCACAGCAACCCATTTTTGGACAGAGTAGAAATGCTCCACAGGGTTTCTGTTCTGGTTACCTAGTGCTGCTCTGACAGGAGAATACCACAAATGGGATGCTTGAACAAACAGGAGCTTATTCTCTTACAGTTTGAAGGCTTTAAGTCCAAGTTCCAAGTGCCAGGCTCTAGGGACTGTGTGAAAGCCACTCAGCCTTGGACTTCAGTTCTGCCTCTTGTTCCTGGCCCACTGAAGCTAGAGGCATCTCTTCACTCAGGCAGCTACTGGCTGCTGAGGCTAACAAGCCCAAGGTCAACAAATAAAATGGCACAGTTCAGTACCGATATCACCAAACCACACAGCAGGCCATTAATTCAAGTCCATTGGAAGTCCCAAGGTCGGCAGAGCATTGGCAGGCTGCTGAACAACAACAAAGCTACAGGCAGGGTTCAAGCGTGCCATAACCTAGAGACCAGTCCCAAAGCTGCTGCTTATGTAAGGGAAGCAGACTGCATCCCTAAAGCACCTACTCAGCCGCTCCAATAGATTCCATCATGGAGTTAATTATAAATCTCACCATGGGGAATAACTACATTCAGCCGCCCAGCCACTCAACCAGGCCTAGCCAAGTTGACACACAATTTTAACTACCAGTTTCCAAGGCTTTAAATCTTTATGGAAGCAGACCACTTTAAATTTCTCCCACAAAGCAGCTGATGGGTTCAAACCACCAACCTTTTGGTTAACAGCTGAATGCTTTAACCACTACACCACCCAAACTCCTTATTTTAAAGAGTGGACAAAAAAAGATCAAATAATTGTTTAATCTGAAAGTTTTAAGCACCAAAGTTATTGTTCACAAAACTCCAATGCTATCTCCATAGTTTAAAAAAATCTATCCTCCAGCTATGGTTTTCCCTATTTTATGGTGTGGAATGCCTTTCCCCTTCTTTCTATATTAAATTCCGAATCATCCATTAGCGTTCAAAGGTTTTCCTCTACAAAGCCTCTGCTGCCTTGTAGAGTAGGCCAGGTACTTTGTTATTCAGTCTCTTATCAGCCATACTTCTCCCTTTACAGCCCTCCATACAACTATAATTATATAATGAATAGTGTATAACTTGCTATTTAAAGCTTGGATTCTCTCACAGAATGTTGCACCATAAAGGCCAGTATCTTGTTTGTTTTCTACTCATGGACTCCAAAACACCCCTTTACCAGGAAGAATTGTTCACCTACATACCTCTTGAATTAATGGCCTGCTGTGTGGTTTGGTGATATCGGTACTGAACTGTGCCATTTTATTTGTTGACCTTGGGCTTGTTAGCCTCAGCATTCAGAAATTTATCAAGTGCTTATTTACATTAGTTTCTTTGCTAAGTCCTGCTCATGAAGGTAGCTGGTCAGATAACTTTTAACCAATTTAACTTTAACTCACCCAAAAACCAAACCCACTGTCATTGAGTTGATTCCAACTCATGGATAGCCATGTGAGACAGAGCAGAATCAATCCATAGAATTTTCATGGCGGTAGTATTTATGGAAGGTCACCAGGCCTCTCTTCCAGGGCACCACAGGGTAAGGTCAAACCGCCAACCTGCACATTAGTAGTGGAGCACAAACTGTTTGCACCCCTGAGGGACCTTTATGTCAAACAATATAAAAATATTTGCCTGGGATTACGTTTTAATGAGTAACATCAAAAATAAAAACAAAACTGAAACTTAATGCCATATCAATAAAATGAGTAAATTAATGAAATGTTTAGGTAAGAACTTTCCAGCTATTAACCACCCCCCAAAAAAACCAAATGCACTGCCATCAAGTCGGATCCGACTCATAGCGACCCCTCCTTAGGTTTCCAAGACGCTATCACTACGGAAGTAGATTGCCCAACCTTTCTTCTGAGGAGTGGCTGGTGGGTTTGAACCGCCAGCCTTCTGGTTAGCAGTCATGTGCCTTAGGCACTACGCCACCAGAGCTCCCAAACTTGGCAATTAGATAGTTTTAATTAGGATTTACCTATGTTGTTATTGTCAGGTGCTGTATAGTCGGTTTTGACTCATAGCGACACTATAAACTACAGAGTGTATAGTGCGGTATACCACACTGCATTGCCTGGTCCTACGTTGTTGTTGTTGTTGTTATTTGCCGTCAAGTCGCCCCCGACTCATAGCGACCCCTCCTTGGGTTTCTGAGGCAGTATCACTACAGAAGTAGGATTGCCCAACCCTGGTCCTATACTATCCTGGAAATCAGGATTTACCTATAGTTGATTTAATTCAATTTAATATATGAACTATTACACAACTGCTTTACTTGTGTTTTGAAGTGGTTTTTAAATTTACTAAAACTGACTGAAGCCCCGAAGCTCCAAACATCAATATCTCAGGACATCAAAAATACAGATATGTACATTTTAAATAATCCATTAATAGTTAGCTATGCATTACTTGATTGGCAAAGATTTACTTTTAACTAAGCTCCCACCTTGTCTAAAGTATTTTCAGTAAGTGAAAAGAACATACTTGCCCACAGTTATGTGAAAATTCCCTGCTACTTTATTGACATATAGATGACCTCGAATTCTGCATGCATCTGGAGGCTGTGATGAATCATCTTCCCTGTACAACAAGATATATTAAGATTACTTAAGGCATGTTCAGTTCAGTCACCATTTCATAGTGGAAAATTTCAGAGGGAGAAAAATCCCTAAAGATTATTTTTAGATAATTTTCCAAATTTCAAAAAGATAACAGCAGTTTCCTAAAGTCTAAAAATTTATAAAAATTATACATCTATAAAATGGAAAAAAATTACATAATTATTACATAAGTATTAAATTCACACAAATCTAAAACCCCACAGTTCTTCAAATCTAATTAGTGGATTAAGCCCAATGATAGAAAAAAAGAAATTCAAAGAAAACAATTCATGCAACAAAGACATTTTCTTCATCTGTTTCTAGACTTCAGAGTGAGGAGGACGGTATATTGGGGATATCATCTAAATTCAAAGACATAATGACATTTTTTTTTTTCCTAAGCAAATGTAAAAACTCCTTATATTTTTAAAAATTTAAATGGTTTTCATTTCATGATCATGGCATTTCCAAATATCACTATTCTATACTCCATAAAAGAGAAAAAATATATATACAATTAAAAAAACAAAATTCCTAGTCCAAACTTATATATCCTTATAACAACAAGCGTAAGTAATGTGTTCTTAAAACCTACTACAATTTTATATGGAAGATATTTATGTAATAACAAAAGTAAAAAAGTAAAAAAAAAAAAAAAAAATTTACTAGCACATATAAAGAAAAAATTAATTTATGAAAACAAAGTAATATATTTGTGATAATCCAGATCAGTGTTGCTGTTGTTGTTAGGTGCCGTCTAGTCAGCTTTGACTCATAGCGACCTTATAAACAACAGAACGAAACACTGCCCAGTCCTGTGCCAGCCTCACAATCCTTGCTATACCTGAGCCTATTGTTGCAACCACTGTGTCTGTCCATCTCATTGAGGGCCTTCCTCTTTTTCGTTGACCCTCCACTTTACCAAACATAATATCCTTCTCTAGGGATTGGTCCTTTGTGATAACATAACCAAAGTGCGTGAGATGAAGTCTGGCCATTCTCGCTTCCAAGAGGATTCCAGCTCCACTTCTTCCAGGACAGATTTGTTCCTTCTTCTGGTAGTCCATGGTACTTTCAGTGTTCTTTGCCAACACCACAACTCAAAAGTATCAACTCTTCTTTGGTCTTCCTTGTTCACTCTCCAGCTCTCACATGTATATGAGGTGACTGCAAATATCACGGCCTGGATTAGTAACACCTTAGTCTTCAAAGAGATATCTTTGCTCTTCATCACTATAAAGACACCTTTTGCGGCAGTTTTGCCCAGTACAATACATCATCTGATATTCTGACTGCTGCTTCCATTGGTGTTGACTGTGGAGCCAAGTAATAAGAAATCTCTGACAACTTCAATCTTGTCTCCATTTATCGTGATGCTGCTTATTAGTCCAATTGTGAGGATTTTTGTTTTCTTTATGTTGAGATGTAATCCATACTGCAGACTGTAAGTCTTTAATCTTCATCAGTAAGTGCTTCAAGTCATCTTCACATTCAGCAAGCAAGTCTGTGTCATCTGCATGTTGCAGACTGCTAATGAGTCTTCCTCCAATCCTGATGCTGCATTCTTCTTCATATAGTCCAGATTCTTGGATTATTTGCTCAGCATACAGACTGAAGAAATATGGTGAAAGGATACAACCCTGATGCACTCCCTTCCTGATTTTAAACCACGCAGTATTACATATTTGTGATAATCCAGGTCAATATCAAACTATAAATTTAAAAATGAAAGGTATCTGCATAGTGCAGAATAATTCCATTTTCTCTTTCTACGAAAAATAAGAGTCAGAGAACTAAACCAATACTAAAGCTATGTCAAGATAAATTCATAATAAATCATTTCACATGTAAAAACTTCATCTTACCTTGGTGGAAGTGCTGTTGATGTACTTTTAAAAGCACTTTTAAATATAACATCTTGAAGTGAATGCTCCTCTTGCAGCCTACTCTGTATCAGCTGTAGCATCCTAAATACAGCACAAAGAGTAATTGATAAAGTAGAATGAAGTATACAAAGAAAGAGAATACTTAATCAAAAATAACAATGGTTAGCAGATTTAACTAAGCCATACATTCATTATCAGAGAAAGACAGAATAACAATCTTTCTAAATAAAGTATCACGTTTTCTTCTGGCATTTTGTTGAAAAAAGGGAAAGTGAAGTAAGATGGTTAGAGGTCTAACAGTAGGCTTCAGGAACCTGCCTGATTTCACCAGTGACAGATGTGTAGTCAGAGTCAAAAAGAAGGAGCATCATCTGCTCACCTAAGCATCTAAATTCATCTCATTCAGGCATGTGGCATTTACAAAATTCTTACTTTTGGTCAGGCATTGAATTATGAGTTACAGACACAAAAAATAAGACAAACAAAGGTCAGCATAATAATAGACTTGATGGACTTGAAAGAGAAGATTATTAGGGTATACACCCATACCACAAACATCCAATTTTTATTACAAAAAAGGCCACAATACTATCTGGCTTCCCCTTATCCAAAAAAGCTGAACCTCATTCTAGGACAAGGTTATTTCAAACAAAATATTATACTCTTCTAATAATTTTTAAAAGTAATTTCAATATATAAATCATCAAATTACAGAGAACAAAGTATACATTTGAGAATCAATTTAAATAATTTTAAAATTTTCTTTTTAAATATACCTAATAAACAAAGAACTAGTAAATTGAAGATTTTTTATTAAAATTTTTATGTTCATAAAAATTTAAGAAATTATTTATTCCAAACAACAAAACCAACAATAAAAGGTCTTCTCTCCAACACTTCTACCACTGAGACATGTTGCCTCCCACAATTTTTAGCAATTATTTTGCATCTTTTGATGTAGTCCTACATTGTCTCTTTTAATTTTCTATCTTTGGGCATAGTGTCTAAGGCATCTAATTGCTAACCAGAAGGCTGGCAGTTCAAACCCACCAGCCACTCCTCAGAAGGAAGATGGGGCAATCCACTTCTGTAGTGATACTGCCTCGGAAACCAAGGAGGGGTCATTATGAGTCAGACCTAACTCAACGGCGGTGAGTTTGTTTGTTTTTTTTAAATAACCTAGTCATCTATAGTATAATTTTCATTCAGCAAGTTAAAAATTACATATGAACATAAACCAAACAAACCCAAAGCCACTGCTATCAAAACCAAAAACTAACCAAACTTACTGCCATTGAGTCGGATTCAACTCACAGTGACCCCTCCTTGGGTTTCCGAGGCAGTATCACTACAGAAGTAGATTGCCCAACCTTCCTTTCGAGGAGTGGCTGGTGTGTTTGAACCAACAGCCTCTGGTTAGCAGTCAAATGCCTTAGGCATTAGAGACCCTATAGGACAGAGCCTTGGAAACCACTGGGTTTCCAAGGCTGTACATCTTTGTAGAAACAACTGACATGTCTTTTTCCTGCACAGCAGCTGGTGGGTTTGAACCACTGACCTTTCAATTAGCAGCCCAGTGCTTTAACCACTGCACCACCAGGGCTCCTTTACATAAACAAAGGCACGATGCACACAAACATCAACATTTAAAAAATAAAAGCAAAATAATTAGTCTCTACTCATCCCGAGCAAGAGAATGAAGGAAACCAAAGACTCACAGAAGAAATTAGCCCATAGGATGAATAACAGCTCACACAAAGCACAGCCCTTCTAACCTGAGACTAGAAGAATCAGAGGGTGTCCAGCTATCACCACCAACTTTTCTGACTGGAGATACAATTAAAGGTCTTGAATAGAATGGGAGAAAAATGTAAAATAACACTCAAATTTCTAAAAAAGGCCAGAACTGCTGGACTGACAGAGACTAGAGGAACCCCTAAGAGGTCACCCTTCAGCCATAAAAGATTGGCTTATAAAATAAACAATGTCACCCATGAGTAATGTGTCTCTTAAACAATTAACTATATGAGCCCAAACAGTCAGCATTTACCCAAAAGCAAAGAGGAGAAGGCAAGGAAGGGAAGGGAAGCTACATCAATGGAAACAAAACAAACAGAATGAAAATAATGAGAAAGTTTACACATTGTGAAAATTGGAACCAATGTCAAGGAACAATTTGTATAAAAGTTGTTAAATGACAACATAATTTGCTGTGTAAACTTTCATCTAACACGTAAAAAAATACTAAAAACAAAAGAAAAGTGATTTTGAATAAATAAAAATAAAACCAAATCCAACAATATTTTATATTCCATTACAACAATAAACATTTTCTAGAAGTGCAAGTGAGAGATAAATATTTATACAACATGCACTTAGAATTCTGGTAAAATAGGCTAATTCAAAATAACAAGTCCTAAGGAGGGGTCGCTATGAGTCGGTCTGACTTAATGGCACATAACAACAACAACAACAATAAAGGTAAAGAACACTTTGTATGCACATTATTCAGGGGAGGTCAGACTACCTTTGGACCACTGACCACCTATTCCAAAACATTTGTTCTTAAGTACAACATGATAATGTAGAAAGCTTCCTAGACACCATCTTCAGATTTATACATCTAAAGATGTAAAATCTTTGGATCCAATGCCAGCAGAAATGAAAAGCTTCACAATTACGTGTGTCTTATATTTCCAGAGTTCAACTTTTGTGCTAGGCAGTAAGTAAAGAGTTTGATAATATCAAACTGTGTGTGTGTGTAAAATTTCTGCTTTAAATTACCAAAACACAGCCAAGCTAATATTCTACATATGCAAGTATGTAGAAAAAGTCTACTGTGATGAGAAATATCTATCACTGTAATAGTAAAAATACAGTCTCTGCTCCCACTTATTGCTAGTCTTAAACACTGTATAAAATCCCAAACATTTTACTTTAATATAGCAGGATTAAAATATTTCACACCTGGTGGCCTTTAACTAAAACTTAGAAACCCCGAGTGTGCTTAACATTCGGAGTTTTGTGTTCAATGACATTTGATTTCAACTTTTATATTAAAGGCTCCCAAGAAAGTGAAATCAGAATTTAAAAGGCCTTTGAAATTTGTCTAGGGTGGGGTGGGGGTGGGAGTGGTTGAAAAAAATATTTAATAGTAAGTATACTTTTAAATAATCTTAAAGTGATTTTTTAAGCACAAAAGCCTGAAAGACAAAAAAAAAAAAAAAAAAAAAAGCAATATGTAACAGGGAAAAAAAATTGTAACAAACAAAGACAAATTTCATTATACAAATAGCTGTTAAAAATTATTAAGAAAAAGGTCAACAACCAAGCAAAATGGACAAACGTTATGAATACACAGTTTGGCAGATAAAGAAAGACAAACAGGGAAAAAAATCCAGGAAGATATTAAATTATTTCTTAAAGAAATGTTGATTAAAAGAAGTATGGTACCACTTTTCACACAACAAATTGGCACCAAAAAAAAAAAAAAAATGCCTAGTTATTGTTGGTAAGGTTGTAAAAGAACTCAAATAGTTTTGGAGTGAAGGTGAAACAATATGTGGCACTGCATACCAAAATGTTAAATTAAATGTACTCTGAAATAAAAATCTCACTTCTATAACTTTTCTATTTTTCTGTCTATACACACATATTCACACAAGTCCACAAAGAAATACATTCCAAAATATTCACTAAATTATTTTTTAATATTAAAATCCTAGGTAGGTCTAGTGGCGTAGTGCCTAAGGCATTTGACTGCTAACAAGAATGCTGGCAGTTCAAAAAGAATGGGTAATCAATCTACTTCTGTAGAGATACTGCCTGGGAAACTGAAGGAGGGATCGCTATGAGTCAGATCAACTCTGACGGCAGTGAGTGTGGTTTGGTTTGAGTTAGAAGCCATTAAATGCCTATCTAAGGCTTCGATTAAATAAACTATAATCTATCCATAAACTGGGCTAATATGGAAAGATACCAAAACATCAAGTTAAGAAAAAGGAAGTTACAGAACACATGTATGAACTGATCCCATTTTTTTAAAAACTAAGCTTATATGCAAACAAATAAGAAGTTTTGTATATGCACAGAAAATTTCTAGAAGGCTATGCACGAAACTTAACACTGGATATCACCACTACACAGTGGTGCTTGGTTAGGGAATGAAGAAGGGCTTTACTTTTCCTTTACATTCTATTTAAATTGAACTTTGTAAAACTAATCATCTTACTTTTACAAAAAAAATTTAAAACTACTTAATAAAATTTTAAATCAAAACTAAAAGTTGTAATTCAAGGTACAATACAGAAAACATTATTCATGACTCTCCTAAAATCTGACATAATTTTTAAAATTATAAGAATTATATTATACCCTCTATTCTGCTAATTCGGATGGAAGATGGGGCAATCTACTTCCGTAGTGATACTGCCTTGGAAACCCAAGGAGGGGTTGCTATGAGTTGGGTCTGACTCGACGGCACATAACAACAACATTCTGCTAATATATTACATTAAAAAAAATTGCCTAGAGTAATGTGTTAATCTGTGTATAGTTTATGAAAGACAAAATAATATAATGTTCCACAAATGTGATTTAGGATTTTACGGACCACAGTACTTTGTTTCCTTGTTACCTCTGCCATTCCTTTTGCTGTGGTGAAAGATCAAATATTGCCTGAAATAAAGGAGAGCATAATTATTAGTACTATCAAATTCTCTTGGCTTTTATTTCACAATTGAAAAAAAAAAAAACTTTTTTTCAGCAAGAAACATAAATTTATAGCATCCTTAAAAACAAATATTCATGAGTTATACTTAATCATCTGTAAAATGAAAGGATTTAAATATATTTTTATTCAAAAATATCAGAGCAATTTTACTAATCGCAAATATTTTCCTGTTATCTATATTTTAGAAGCAGATGCAAGCAAGCAATGTATCATCTGTACAAAATAGTATGTTAGATAGGACTTAATCCAATGATGCTAACATGAAAATCAAGTCTTAAAAAAAGAAAACAAAAACAAAAAGGCAGCTTAAATATATTCAAACATTCAAGGTCTGTGTTCTTGTTAAGAAAATACCATAATAAAATCAGAATGGCACTACAATTCCCAAAATGTATTAATCAACAAAGAACTACTCAAGAAATTTTATCTAGGCACTATCCATATCAAGGGAGCTCTGGTGGCGTTGTGCCTAAGGTATCTGACTGCTAACCAGAAGGCTGGTGGTTCAAACCCACCAGCCACTCCTTGGAAAGAAGGTTGGGCAATCTACTTCCGTAGTGATACTGCCTCAGAAACCCAAGGAGGGGTCGCTGTGAGTCGGATCCAACTTGATGGCAATGGGTTTATCCATATCGATTCAAAGTAGGACTTGGCTACTTGTAGAATCAGAGAGAAACACACAAGCTTCTGATGGTCTGTTGCAAATTTAATTTTGCAACAAAAAATCTACTTTTGATTTTTATAAAGACAATTTATAGCAAAGTATATTAACTCCATTTTAAAATTTTTTCAATATTATTAATTAATTACCTCTCCACAATCAGGCTCTAAACAACTATTCTCCTTCCTAAAAACCCTTGCTCTCGAATCAAACTTGCAAATCTGCTGCAAAAGATGTCTTTAAAATACTTAAAGCAAAGATGTCACTTTGAAGACTAAGGTGACCTTCACCCAAGGAGGTGTCGCTATGAGTCGGGTCCGACTAGATGGCAAATAACAACAACAACAAGAAGCACGGGAGAGCCAGCCAATGAAGAATCAATACATATTAATTGCAGGATTGATGAAGAATGTTGAATATACCACTGACCACTAGGAGAACAACCAAATTTGTCTTGGAGGAAGTATAGCCAAATACGCTCCTTAAAAGTAAGAATGGCCAGACTTTGTCTCACATACTTTGGTCATGCTGTCAGAAGAAACCAGTCTCTAGAAAAGGCTATCATGCTAGGTAAAGTAGAGGGTCAGTGAAAAAGGGGAAAACCCTCAATAAGAAGGACTGACACAGTGGCTGTGGCGATGGGCTCAAGCACAGCAACGATTGTGAGGACGGTGCAGGACCCCGCAGTGCTTCCTTCTCTTGTACATAGGGTCACTATATTGTCGAAACTGACTTGACAGCATCTAACAACAACAAACTAAACAGTTCTATTTCTGTGCCTTTACTTAAATTTGATTATACCAGCCTGGGACCCTCCTTTCCCTGTGCTGTGACCCTCATATCTATTTAATTTTTCCACAGCCAGATGATCCAAGGTAAATTGCTTTCATTTTTCTAATGTTTGATAACTCCTCCTACTGAACTTAACTGTACCATGCTTCACAATCTTTTTCATATCATGTTGCACAGCTAACAATGCTAACATCTGTATAACACATTGTGTTAGGCAGATGAGGCTTATAACTGCTCCCCAGTTAATCTGTAAATAAAATTATTGATCCCAGGGACTATACGATTCTTCCTTTGAATTCCCCAAACTGCTTAGTATGGTGCTAGCACAAGGGTGTAAAAGAACTACTAAGTAGCAACTTTGTGCTAGTCACTGTGGTACTATTCATTATTCATTTAACCTTCACAACAATCTTGTAAGGCTATTATTCTTTTTTCCTTTTAGCACATGAGGAAGCAGGAACTCAAGTTTTTCTACATCTGTAATCATTTGCCTCTCTTTTCTGACCATCTAGAGACCTTATAGTCATGCTAGAGTCCATAAAGCATAATCCAACATTCTTGCTGAAAAAAAAGTCTCAGTAAGTCCCTCCACCAACCGAAAAGCAATGGATGGATGTTTAAAATTAAAGCAATAAAATGCAGAATTACGTTTGAATAATTATTCTTAGTATGAAATGTATTGTATTCTTAATATGCAAATATTAATGTTATCTAATAATAAACTGAATCCAAAAATCTAGATGATAATTTAATATGCTATGACTTGGTATCTGAATTTGTAAGGTATTCAATCTCATAAAAATTACTATGACAATCAATTATTTGAGTGGGAAAAGAGGAGTCAGGAAGTAAAGGGTTTCATAGTAGAAATAATAAAGTTACTTTTTCTTTAGAAATTTCAATTTAAAAAGTGTGTACTAAAAGGCATAAATATGACCCTGGATAGAATGAGGGGAAATTATAGAACAAAATTCTAATTCTTAAAAAAAAAAAAAAAAATGCCAGATTTACCAAACCAGTAGACATGAGAAACCCCCAAAACTACTGCCCTGAGAAACTCTCTAAATTTTAAACTGAAACTACTCCCAGAGGTTACTTTTCATATAAATAACAGATTGGATTATAAAATAAACAATATCACCTTTGAGTACTGTGCTTCTTTAAAAAAGCAAATACATATTTAGAGAGACAGGGAGAGAGAGAGAGATTAAGATGACCTAATAGTCAACATCTACCCTAAAGCAAAGATGAGAACGTTAAGTGGGACAGGAAGCTGGATTAATGAAAATGGAATAACCAGAACAGAAATGAGAATGCTGACACAATGCAGAAAAGACAACCACTGTCACTGAACAATATATATAGAAATTGTTAAATAGGAACCTAATTTACTGTATCAACTTATACCAAAAACTCAATACAATATTTTAAAAAATTTTAAAAAGGGCATTAATATTTGTTTTTGTAAGCTAAAAACAATTAGGTTGTCAAAACTGGTAAAAAAAAAATAACAACGTAAAGGTTGCCTTTTTATCCTTCAACCCTACACATTCAGTTACTTCTCAGGCTCCTCCATCACCTTTAGTCTTCACTTTGCAATTTTGCTAAAGAAGGTTCACAACTGCCACTGGTAAACATAAGAACTCAACAACACATATATTGGCACGAGAACCACAGTGCCAATAGAGCAAAGACAGCAAAGCAGCTGGTGATTCCATGCTTTCTTCTCAAAAGCTTGTTTAGGGCCAGTTCAAATAACAATGTATCTACAATACCTGCCCCCATAATATAATGGTGTTTTCTAATAAATCAATTACATTATACAGAATTGTGCTACAGAACCAGAATTTAAAAATGCTTGTCTCTGTTATTATTATGTGCTGTTAAGTCAGCCCCGACTCATGGCAACCCCTCCTTGGGTTTCAGAGGTGGTATCACTACAGAAGTACATTGCCCAACCTTCCTTCCAAGGAGTGGCTGGTGGGTTTGAACTGCCAGCCTTCTGCTAGCATTTCATAAATGTTGGGAAATGAAAGTGTGAAAGAGGGAGAAAGAAGTCAATGCATATGAAATTTCTCCTCTTAGAAAGATACTACTTAACTCTTATTTATAAAAGATATACATACAGCTCACATATTTTTAGAGATTTGAATTTAGTAAAAGTAGGACTTAGAATTTCCAAATCACTACAGGAAAAGAAGAAAATTTCACCACTATAGCATCTAAAAAAAAAAGAGAGAGAAAAGAAAACTGCTAGGAAGAACTGGAGCTCTGATAGTGTAATGCCTAAGGCATTTGACTGCTAACCAGAAGGCTGGCGGTTCAAACCCACAAGCCATCCTCGGAAGGAAGATGAGGCAATCTACTTCCGTAGTGATACTGCTTCAGAAACTCAAGGAGGGGTCGCTATGAGTCGAGTCTGACTTGACAGCACATAACAACAACAACAACAACAACAGGAAGAATTAGAAAAAAAATATAAAATAAGGCAATAAAATGGACTTCAGAATCTTATATGAAATGTTAACAATGGTTATTTGAAGGCTTCAGTATTAAACATAATTTGTGTGTGTGTATGTGTGTGCTTATCTGTTTTTCTAAAATTTTTATACAGACCATGAATTACTTTTGAAATAACAGAGGAAATTATGTAAGAATTAACTCAAGTCAAAACTAAAAGCAAGTATCAAACCAGCTTCAAGGGAACAATTCCTCAAAGCATATTATTTAAAACTATGTAAATCAAACTTACTGGTTCATAAACTAGACCATCTGCAGATGCCACCATTGTTTCTGCTAAATCCAATACATCTGCTCCAACATCTGCATAAAAAAGAAATTTAAAGATTCATATTCCATGCTCAGAGTCTAACTATATCTGATATAACAACTTAAGATAACAAATAGAAAATTCACAAAGCATGTAGAATCACTTTCCCATACTGATCATTTATTCAAAAGCTAAAACAGGATTATGTAGATTATTTTAAAACTTAATAATGCTTTTTTACTTTTTGCTCAGTACAAAAAAGGACACAAAATGTTGTATGCCATCAAGTAGACTCTGACTCACAGAGACCCTGTATGACAGAGTAGAACTACCTAACAGGGGTTCCTAGACTGTAATCTTTACAGGAGCAGAATGCCAAATCTTTTCTCCCACAGAGCCAATGGTGGATTCAAACCATCAACCTTTTGATTAGCAGCCAAGCACTTAACCACTGCACCACCAGGGCTCCTTATGACCCAGAATACCATGGTAAAAAGCATAAATTGAACTGAAGAGCTCTGCTAAAAGTGGCAAAAACTTATAAAAAATACTAAATGCCTATTGCACAAATATTATTTATAAGAATTATTTTTAGATATTAACAGAAATCTCTTAAAGCCAACTACCTGATGCCTTAAAAAAAAAAAAAAAAAAAAATCTACAAATAGGAACCTTACTTTGAAAGGCTAAAATTTCTAATGGTATCCAAACAGCAAAATATGATATATTCAGTATTATTAACACTAACTTAAAACCACTGCCATAAAATAAGGAAAAATAAAGGAAAGAGAAAAAAGATTTAAGGTTGTTCTTTAATGATTTCTCCCAGAATCTAATGCCCTTAACTGGGTTTTAAAAAAAAAAAAACACACTGTTTCATGCTTTAAAATTGTTTTTCTGAACTACTGAATTCTTGATCTTTACTTTCAAAGCAGTAATTTAAAAGACATTTTTCATGCAAAAGCAATTTCATTTTGGAGAATAACTCTGACATTTTATATCTGACTTACTAACATTTTTGTACTTCTGTAAGTATAATCAAATGAAGCCAATGAAGAAAGCAAAAAAGGGAGATGTATCAATATTAACTCAAAAAACTGGGATCTCTATTTTAATACACAAAGTCAAAGTAAAGGGTGGCAAACTGGAACAGATGAACAGAGTATATCTGTGAATATGGGTATAAAAACTGGCACTCCAAACAAGAAATAAAGGATACAGCTAAACTAGAACTCTGATTTGAAAAATCTCTTTTGGTTTTCTTATATTTTAAATGAACTAATATGAAGGTTAAGTCTATTCTCTTTCTAAAGAAGAAATTTAATGAACTTAAGCTGGAAAGGACAAACAATTTGTATTATTAAATAACAATACAATAGAATTTTGAAGTATTATGAAAGAAAAATAAAGTTAAAATACAATCAGTAGTTTTTATTTGTTACTGGATTCATCAAGTTGAAGCTATACTTACACTGACACTTCATGGCAACAGTAATATCTATATTGATTCTCAATTTGCTGAAAGACAGAGGTAAAAAAAAAATACTTAAAAAGTAAATAACAAAACATAAATATGAATCCATTGACCTATAAAAGCTTGGATTTCATACAGTATAAAATATGAAGAATATGCTATCGCCAAAACATACACATTATTAATAAAAAGAAGAAAAAAAAAAGTTCTATTTTGCAATTATTCTAAAAGCCTTACTGATTTCACAGATTTTTAACACAGTATTCTTTAATTTAATAATGGCAACCCTGTGATCAATAACTCCAAATAACTCAAAAAAAGTTTTATCTCTGTTTATACAAACTTTACAGAGGATATTCCTTTAAGAATGTAAAGTTTTCATCAGCACGGATTAGGAACTATGAAACATTCTTCTCTATTTATCAAGTAAATACCATACATCAGGCATTATGCTAGATGACCTACAAATATCACTTTCTCTGTTTTTTTATCACAGGCCTATATAGTAGATAGTTTCACAATTTTGCAGATAAGCCACTGGGGCTCTAAGCAGTATAAATGATTGCCTTAAGATCAAACAACCATTAAAGTGGCGTATTGGAAACTAGGTCTGCATGACTAAGGATAAATGCAATAGAACTTAAAAGAAAAAATTCAACTGATGCTTAAAGTTTTGCATGGCCTTTTAAAAAGCCACAATCATGGCTTGATTTTCTATTAATTAATTTAATTCATATTAATTTTCAAATACCAGAATTAATTATTTACTGTGATCTAAGCACTGTGAATAACAAAAGTACTATCAAATTCAGAAGTGTGCTCCCGATTAAAACTGTTTTCATTCCAATAATACATCTGGTTTAATTGGAATTTTAGACTTTTAGAGTTTTAAAGCTATCTAGAGTTTCAAACCGTGGCCCAAAAAGTCCAGAAGTTTAGGCTCAAGAGATACTGTAGAAACTAGAGAAAAAGGCCTAGTGGATAGGTTTCTAAGTGTTCCCCCATAGTTACATAGTGAACTACACAAGAATTCATTGGAAACAATCAGTGTTTCTTTGATGCTAAAAACAAATGAAACTAGAACAATAAATTCCTTGAAAACTGATTGTTTCTAAAATAATACTCAATAGATGAAGAAACAGAAGCACAAAAGAAGTAAGTTGTATGACATGGCCAAGATTATATAGCCATTTACAAATGTTTACTCATTAATTCTCACAATCATGACAAAGGTGTTATCATTATTATTCTAATTTTTCAGAAAAGGAGACAGAGGCACACACAGATAAGAGGTTTAGTAGCTTTCCAAAAGTCACATAGCTAGTAAATGGCAGAGCTAGGATTGGAACTGAGAACTGTGTCTCCCTATCTAGTGTAAACATAGTGTAAACATTTAAAAAATCTTAATCATACAAATAAATAAAGTATATCTCATCTCTTAATTAAGCTACTATATTTTCAAAGGTATAAAAGGGACATTAAATAAAAATTTAATTGTATATAATTCATAGATACCAAGTTATAATTGTAATACAATGTATCTTTAGACAATTTATTTTCTAACTCAAACAGATATTTGAAACTCTAAAGAGCAAAAAATTTCAAAACATTCAACAATTTCCTCTTTAATCAACATCTAAGAAAAGTCCCATCATGGTTCTCTTAAACTTTTCAAGCAAGCACATAAATCAGAATTTTAAAGAAGGGGCTTCTGATTGGACTAGTGGTAACAGTATTTGAGGTGCCAGAGAGAAAGCCACCCTTTTAGAATTTAACCAGAAGTTAAATGGTTGATTCTAAAACATTTGACCTAACACATGCAATTAATAATTTTCAAGACTATTTCTTCAAATCCAAGATAAGCCAAATATAGAGAATGAAACTTTTCTCTTTCTCTTTCTCTTCCTTCCTCCCTTTCTTTCTTTCTTTTTTACTTATTAACTGCTTGTATCATGCAGGAACTTGAAGCTCGACTAGCTGGGTTCAAATCCTGGGTCTGCCATTTATAAGCTTGTTGTTGTTGTTGTTATGTGCCATCGAGTCAAACCCGACTCATAGCGACCCCTCCTTGGGTTTCCGAGGCAGTATCACTACGGAAGTAGGATTGCCCAACCTTCCTACCTAGTATGACTTATTTTGATGCCTCTTCACTTCGGTTTTCTCATTCTTAAAACAGAAGAAACAAAAGTATCTTCCCTACAAGTTTATTGTGAAGAGTGAAAGAGAGATCACAGAAAGTGCTTAGAAAGTGCTTATTGACACACTCACTATTTCTAGGGTGATGATTTATCCCTTTCCAACACTTCACCTGCCCAGTGAGCGAAAGCATAGCTAGTGCAGGGTAGTGATACCCAAGTCATGGGCCCATCCTCAGAACTGCTAAGATGTAGAGAGGGCAGAGTGGCATAGAAAGAACACACTTTGGAGAAAGACATACCCAGGATTGGAACTGGCCTCTGCTACTTATTAAGTATGCAATCTTGCACACATTACTTAACATTTTAGTTCTCTCATTTCTAAAACACAAATACCAAGACCCCCTCTTCTCAAGACTGTTTTGAAGATTTAATAGTGCCTATAATGTGTGCAGCACTTTAATGTGGGAACATAGCAGTTATTTATTAAATGTTAATTTCTGTTCTCTTCCCTTCAAATAGAGCATTATTCTCCTGGGCAGAGAGGCAAGCTGCAGAATGGAGGCTAAAGAGCTGTGCTTTCTCTCTGGCACCTCGAACAATGTACCACTAGCCCCAATCAGAAGCCCCTTCTTACTCATCATCTTTAGTCTATTCTTACAGAGCCCAATCAACTGCTTAGAATTATTTGCAATTCTTAATCTCCTTTCTATTTTCTGCACATGGACTTTTAAAGGTATGAATCCCCTCCAGAGGATCCCAGGCTTGAGCCTGTCTTTGTCTCCTCTCGTTCACTTGTTTTCAATTTTCTGATTATAGATTCAGAATTATGGTACAAAGGACCTCCTTCAAAGCCTATAATCCATGAAATCATAACTACTTCCCAACTATTCTTTGAAAATGGCATTTCTTTAAAGTTTTTTTTTTAAAAAAGAAAAAAGCTTTTATCTTTAAACAATTTAAATGTAACAACACTTCAAGAAGAAAAAAAATAGTTACCTAGAAAAATCCTTATCTACTTCATATTCATATTTCATCCACGTATCTTGGTACACTGAAAATTCCATTATGGTTAATAAAGCCATAGTGGTAAATGCTATTAGAGAAACTGAGGGAAAAAATAAAAAACAATCAAGTAAACAATAGGAAACTATTTTAAGTTAGATTTAAAGTAGCAAAAAATGTCCTAATTAATTGTCATTTGAATGAATACTGTAAGATTTTCTAAATGTTTACTATAGGAATTTTTTTTTCCTGAAAATAACTAAAAAAAAAATGATAATTTAATAAGCACAAACAAGAACACAAACATTTTTGCCATTGAGAAAGCATTTTATTTCTTCAGTTTTATAGACATCTCTCACTAAACAGATTTGCCAAAATTTTACAAGACATGAAAGTTTTACTTTCTCACCTATAGAAATGTCACAGATGTGATAAATAAAAGTAAGCATGAGTTTAAGGTACAAATTAGAAAAGAATGCCCTCATAATTAAAAATGTATCCTTAAAAAAAAATTAAAGACCTACCCTAATTTCTTAGGTCCTGAACAGCCACAATAATCTGTGCCAGAAAGTTAAATAACATTCCTGAGTCTCAAAAAAAAACTCATCTAATCCTTAATTTGCAATCTTTTAGACATATCACCTCATTTATAAAAGTAAAAGATCTGATAAAAAAGGGAAGAACCATCTCCTATGATAAAACAAACTTAAAAGGAATTGTGCAACAAAACACTATTTTCCTTAACAAAATTTAATCACAAGAGATTACAAATGGCAGGTAACTATTAACAATTTACCAAATGAAATGCCAATCCTACATGAAATATGTTATTTGATAAACCCTTCATAGGGAAATAATAGTAAATATTGTTAGTCTCATATTTTTCTCATGTATTACACTACTTCATTTAATAAATACTAATAACTGTGTCTGGTGCTGCTGTATCTTATTAATATTAATTTATTTAATTACTACAGCAATCTTACAAGGTAAAAGTTAAGAACTATTAGAATGTCTTAACTGATTTACTCTTAATCAACATAGGACTGAGGCAGTATCAACATCATGAAAAAATTTTTTCCAACTTTGTTTTTTGGTAATGTTAAGTATATATAACTGAAGAATACTAAAGCAATAAAATTGGATTAATTAATTCAGTAATGTTTTAATAAACACTGTTAAATGCATCAACTGCATTGGGTTCAACACCGTGGAGAACAGAAATAAGATAGAAGAATTAGTGAGACATGAAAACAGATCAATTAAACAGACAGACCATCTGCAGTTACTGTACAATTCATTGATGAATTCTTCCTTGCGGCTACATTTTTATACTGCTTTGAATTGGATTATTCAGATTAACACTGAGCGAAGGAGTTTTCATTTGACCTGATACTCACCTGTACCACCACTGGCTGAAGTCTCTACATAGCTCTCAGGAACCTTTGGAAAGGCATCCAACTCTTTCACCAAATTCAAGGTTTTTTTCCGATTCAGTCGCCTCATCTTCAGGAAAACCCTCTTCTTCCTTCATATAGTTATGCTAATGAATAAATAAATTAGGAAATAAATGATTCTTCTAAAAAGATAAAAAGTTTCTTTTTCTTCTCCATGAATTGCACCAAATTATATTTTAGAATAACAGACAAACGTCCTCAGAACAACTTAATATTCTTATCCTCCTTGAGAAAAACATAAATACTTATCCATACTACTGCATTATCCATTTCCACTGTGACAAAAACTATGTCTAATGAACTGACAGTTGAAAAACACACACATACACACACTAAATAGCAAACAAAAATGTGAAAAGCAATTCAATCACATTTGTGATCTTTAAATATACAAATAAAAATAAGAAATATTTTTCTACTATTAAATTGAAAAATACATAAAAATAATACATTCCCAGTAATGAAGTCCATGAAGTACAAGAGGCATGTTTACACATGAATAACATGACTATTAATATTACCCTTTCCTCTTCTTTTGACCAAGAAAATTCTTTTTCGAGAAACGTAACCTAAGGAAATAATCTTAATTATGTACAAAAATTTGACTATGATAATATTGCACATATTTTACTTTTAAATATTGAAAACTGAAAGAAACCCAGGGTATCCAATATACAAATTATAGTGAATTAAACAGGTTTCAAACTATATAACTACTAAAAACCTTCTAATAGAAACATTTAATGACATAATACTCATTATACATTAAGAAGAAAAAACTAGAAGGCTGTATGGTCCTAATTTTATGAAAGACAGGGGAAAGACACACAAGGAACAAACTGAAAAACTATATAGCAAAATGTTAAAAGAAGATCATGGAAGGATTTTAAGTGTCTTTTTTTTATGGAATTTTGGACTTTCCAAAATTATCTATTTTTGTAATAAAAAATATTGTTTACAAATTGTTTGCTATTACCTTTTTGATTAGTAGTCCTAGGAGCTCTGGTGGTGTAGTGCCTAAGGCATTTAACTGCTAACCAGAAGGCTGGTGGTTCAAAGCCACCAGCCACTCCTCCGAAGGAAGATTGGGCAATCTACTTCCGTAGCGGTACCGCCTCGGAAACCCAAGGAGGGATCGCTATGAGTCGGATCCAACTCCACGGCAGTGAGTTTGGTTTTTGGTTTTTAGTCCAACTACATCTAAAACACATTAAAAAGCCAGACAAACGATAACTGAATTCTCAAATATTTACACAATTTAAAAAAAAAACACTCATAATCTGTAAATGGTACTATAAGCATTCCCAGCAATCAAAGCTGTATTAATAAAATCAACACCTAACAGCAGATTAAATCTGACAGTTGCATAAATCACTACAAGAAAAATAAGGTTTTTGGAAGAAAGCAGAAAGACCTGTCTGAAATCCAATGGGTAGTATTATAAAAAAGAATAGGCCATAGAATGGACATTCAATCAGAAAAAGGAGGACCAGAGAAGCAAAAACTGGCAGCAATCATGAGCACTATCCAAGAGAGCAAGCCCTGACCAGGGACACTACTAATCACTCTATGGAGTAGCTACTGCCTTCAAGTGAAGTTGAATACATTAACAAGGTTCATTTCATTGCCATTAACAACATCCAACTATCTCCCCTTGCTGATTCCATGGTCACAAAGCAGGCTCCAGATTATGTTGCTCCTCATGTACCTGGTTTTCCTAAAGAAAAAGAATGTGTAGACAAAAGGTGATGGCATTTTGATCCCCATGACAGTTATAAAACCAGTATTCTCATATGCAGAAGCCCTGGTTGTGCAATGGTTAAAGTACTCGGCTACAAACTGAAAAGTTTGCAGTTCAAACCCACAAGCCATACCGTTGGAGAAAGATGTGGCAGTCTACTTTAATAAAGATTTATAGCCTTGGAAATCCTATGGGGCAGTGGGCTTTTCGCATTCTCATTTGGAAAGTAAGCTTCTGAGTGTTATGCATAAACCAGGTCCCTAGTCTGTCCAACTCTGTCTGACAAAGCAATTAAATTTTTTTTCTGTACCTGCTTAGTGATTAACTGCATAAAGACTGACCTTTCTTCACTCTTCCAATTTCTATTCATTCTTTCCCACTGGAATTAAGTATTAAATATGTGTGAGCCTCTTATCTATAAAACAAATACATTCCAAGGACAATTCACAGTCAAAGGTCTAAAGTCCATCCCACATCTATTCCTCCTCCTGTGTTCCCTAACTTAATTAATGATGGTACTAAGTACCCAACTGCACAAATCAGAAACCTGGGTTATATCCTTAGTAACTTATGCTCTTCTAAACTTTCTTTCAAATCTACCTGTCCTCTCTTCTCCAGGTCCACTGAGAAGTTCCTCACTAGGACTCTAGTCCTACCAATCAATCTCTGGATTGCTGCAACAACCCCAATCTTCAACCTTTCAAGTCACTTACCATACTACAACTAATACCTTTGTAATATATAAATCAAATCAAGTAACTTTTCTCTTAAAATCTTAAACTTCCCACTGTACTTAAGGAATCTGGACTCTATCCTAGCACGGTCTACAAAGCTCTTCAAGAATGGGAACCTGCTTCTCTCTCTCTTCAAACCTACTTCTTTTAAGTCAAAGTTCCAGGCATACTGAACCACTTTGAACTCCTTGAACATGCTATTCCTTCTGCCAGAAATTTTTTCCTTATCTGTACATTAGGCTAACTCCTACAGAATGACTCTTCAAATCCCAGCCCAGATCTCTCTCCCTCCAGGGCAAAAACTCCTCAAAACCCATAAAATCTGTGCGTGCCTAGAACACTGTACTGATCTTAGCAAACTATTTCTAACTACTGGTTTAATTTCTTTCCCCACCATTGGACTTCTAGGGTGGGAACTGTGCCCAACTTGATCTTTGTGTCTACATCTCCAACACCTGACTGAGCAGGCAATCAATGGATATTTACGGAAGGAAGCAATCAAATTTCTCCACAAACACATATGTCATCAGTTTTCAATTCATAAAAACTGTCACACTTAAAAAAGTAAATATACAAAAAGGAGGATGTTTTTCTTCATTCACTGCAGTATCCTTATTACTTAGAACAGTGGTAGGCATGTGGTAGGTATAGCACTTCTGAGTAAACGAATATTGAATTCTACTCCAAAGCTTTTTATTTTATTTTTATAACAAACTTTTTAAATTCTTTGGTTTAAATTATATATAAGCATAAAGATATGGCAAGTAGCTAGTTTTGTAACTAACAATGCCACATGATCTATTCAGCATTCCTCCATTGCAAGTCTAGTATATTCCACCTGGCTACTTCTTAGCTTCTAGCAAACTTCATCCCTATTTTCCATGATTACCATTCTAGAATCAAGCATCTTGCCACTCTTCTACTCCTCCTGTCCCATTCCTGTAAGCTCAGCACCAACTTACCCCCCAAAAATTCATTCTAACTCTGATAACTGAAAGATGTATAAGGCATGTATGAGGAAAAGGTCAATACATGAAATACATTTACAATAGAATAAATGTCTCCAAATGCAAAAAGAATGGGATAACAAGGCAGCTAGAGTTGAGCTGATCTACCACAAAAACTCAGAAGGAAGGTTGGGCAATCTACTTCCGAACTGATACCGCCTCGGAAAACCAAGGAAGGGGTCGCTATGAGTCGGGTCCGACTCCACGGCACATAACAACTACAATAAGACAATATGGGAGAACAGTAGAAGGGAGCCCATCAGCCACTCCACAGAAGAAAGACAAAGCAGTCTGCTTCCATAAAGATTTATAACCTTGAAAACCCAATGGAGGTCACTGTGAGTCGGAACCTATTCAACGGCAGTGAGTTAGTTGTTTGAGTGAGTGAAAGGGAGAGTTTTGTGTCTTAGTAATTAAGAAAACAACAGAGTTAAAAAAAGGAAGAAATTGGAAGATGGAATATAAGGGCATATAAACCTGTAAAGATGGCATGGTGGTAATGTAGTCCCTAGGGCATTTGACTGCTAACCAGAAGGCTGGTGGTTCAAACCACCAGCCACTCCTTGGAAGGAAGGTTGAGCAATCTACTTCTGTAGTGATAGTGCCTCAGAAACCGAAGGAGGGGTCATTATGAGTCGAATCCTACTCAAGGGCAGTGCATTAACTTCAAAGGGGGGAAGGGAATCAAGATCAACAAGCCAAGGCTGATTCCTATGAAGCAGAGGTGTGACATGCCTCCACCCTCCAACCTTTTTATCAATTCTGACACCAGCTGTCCCTCCCACTGCACCCTCTACTTTGGATAACTGGTTAGGGCCACACAACTCACAGACAATACTCATAATTATGAGGTTTATTAGGGAAGTAAGAGATTACAATCCAGGATTAGAAAGTCTCAGGTTCTTAGCAGTGCCTATAGGCACACTCCTCTCTGGCCCTTGGGGTTGACCCGCTGGCCTCTGCCCAGCTCAGGCAAGTGTTAAAAAGTTCTTTTTGTTCTGCCAATATCTGCCCAGAAGCACCTTATTCTGCCAGTAAACCCTGGCCTGAAGGTGCTCAGATCCGAACTCCACCAAACACCCAGAGGCACCCTACTCTGCAGGAAACCTCCTGCCCAAAGGCACTTTGCTTTCTTATCACCACCTCTTGCCAATCTCCTGGTTCTGCTGTTTCTGGAGCCACGTTTCTCACCATCTCCAGTGTCACAGCTGTCTCCTGGAGGTAGGAAGTTCCCAGTGCAGGAATCCTGGGTCCAAAGGAAGCTCTCTGTTCCCATCTCTTTTTCTTGATGGTAGTCAGGTTCCCCTTACCACATCTGTGATAGCTCATTTTAAGCCTAGTGGGATGGAAAAACTGACCAATCCCCACATTAGGGTTCTTTCATACACCTTATTTGCATGGTCCCACCCCCACAAGGGGGAGCACTGGTAACATAGCGCCTAAGGAACTTGACTGCTAACCAGAAGGCTGTTTCAAACCCACCAGCCACTCCTCGGAAGGAAGGTTGGGCAATCTATTTCCGCAGCGATACTGCCTTGGAAATCCAAGGAGGCGTCACTATGAGTCGGGTCCGACTCGACTGGACAAAACAACCCCCACAAGGGTGCCACGTACCTTATTTACATATTAGCAAGCTATCCAATCCCCTTAGTGGGCCACAGGCACCTCACACTTGCATAGTCTCACTCAGTCATTTAGTGGGAGTTACAGAGACTATGGCTAAAATGACCATATTAAGTAATTTACTGTACTACATAACTATAATGAATGGAGAGTGTTAATCAATTTGGGGGTCAGAAAGAAATTATTCTAAATGGTATTTTGTTCAGTCTATATTTTGCCTAAGTCTCAAAGTACCATTTTCTGAGTAAATACAAAATAAAAAATAATAAGAGCTAACACTCAAAGAGTGATGACTGTATGCCTAACATTATCCTAAGTACTTCTTGTGCTTTAATTCTCATCAACACCCTGTGAGCTGGATATTAATATTATTCCCATTTTACACAGAGAGGTCAAAATAGGCATGCAGACTTAGACTCAGTTGCCCTTGAGTGGATTCCAACTCTGAATCATGGCAATTCATATGTGTCAGAGAAGAAATGTGCTCCACAGAGTGTTCAACAGCTGATTTTTCAGAAGTAGATCACCAGGCCATTCTTCTGAAGCTCCTCGGGTGGACTCAAACCTCTACCCTTTCGATTAGCAGCCAAGAGCAATTAGTTTCACCACGTAGCTACTCCCAAATGGGGTACAGAAGTCAAATAATTTGCCAACCATCAAATAAAGAGGCAGACTCAGAACAAATGTTGGAAAACTATTAAATAGGATTTATAACAGGAACAGATTGCCTAAAAGTAACTACTACAAATGACAGCTTCCCCATATCTCTTTCATTTAAATCACAAACTCTCAAAGAAAACATTTTTTCTTAGTTCACCTTCCCTTTCCTCTACACTGGTCTTGATCTCCTTAAAGAAATCTTTCAAACTTAATATATTTTTGAGTTGTACCATGAAGCCATAGCAAGACTTAGTTGTGTGTTAAAGTTTACCGTCAAAAAGAGAAAAGTTGCCCCCCACCTCCGAAACCACGGAATTTCTTGTTCTCACATTTTCCCTCTATGAGAACTGCAATAATTAAATCAATTTAATTTGATATAAATAAGCAAGTTAGGTAAAGATGTGTATGCCCTTACATGAACAAGCCTTTCTAATGGGTGGTGGCGCAGTGCCTAATGCATTTGACTGCTAACCAAAGGTTGGTGATTCAAACCCACCAGTCACTCGGAGGAAGATGGAGCAATCTACTTCCGTAAAGATGTCCCACCTCATAAACCCAGTGGGGATCGCTATGAGTCAGAATCGACGGCAGCGGGTTTGTCTTCTGGTTATACTATAGTTCCATGCAAGAGGCTAAGCAATTACTTGAAATACTGAAATACAACATATACAAGTAGATTTTGTTTTTAATCGCATGTTTAATTGCTCCTGAAAGCCAGTCTTGCAACATTGTAACAAAGATTATGTAACTTTACCTTAAGTTTCGATGGCACTAAATCATAAATATAACAAAAGTGATTTAAACGTGTTGTCTCCAACAGGGACCTATCAACTCTATTTACTACCGATACTCAAGGCTATTCTACCAGGATCTGACGTGTACATTTCTGGTGTTTCTTGCCTTAAGAAAAGTAGTGACACCCAGACCTGTCTTTCCTAGCATCGCACCTATTCTTAATCCTTTCACATTTTCCCAAGCGAAGAGAAAAACTCTCCTTCGAAGCGAAGCCAAACGCACGTTCTTTGTTAAAAAGAGACAGTAGTGTGCTGTCAAAAATGTGGCATTTGTCTGAATGGGAGTGAGGAGCCAACATTCGAGAGGACCAGGACACTACCTGGCTGGTCTTCACAACGCGGGACATTCCTCGTCTGGGAACAAGGAGAGCCACCGGGGTACCGAGCACTGTGAGAAGCAGTGGATCAGGGTCAGTGACTATTAAGAAAGTACCTGAATTCTTCGAGTTACATGACAGCGCAGAGCCACCCAAACCTGGGAGATCAGATCTCCCGATCGCAGCACTACACAGGGTCCTGCCAGTAACGCCCCCGGGAGAGGTGGAGCGGCTCCTCGGCCGAGTCCGTTCTCCAGAAGAGATCGATGAAAACAAGGAACCAACCCTATGTCGGCGCTCCGCCTCTTAACCGTACTGCGCCCTCAACAGCCCTGGAACAACCTAGAGAACAGCACCCAGCGAGGTTTCTGTATTTTACCTTGTGTTACGGTCCCAGCCGACCGCCATGTTTCACAGAAGCCCGGGTCGCCCGGGTTCCTGTGTACCCAGAAATATCGCGAGAACAAAAGGCAGCAGTAGCGGCGGCGGCGGCGAAGACGACTACAACCACTGAAAAACGTCAGGCAAAGGATCTCGCGATATTCCCTTTGCTTACGAGGAGCCGATCGAAGCGAGAGGCGTGCCCAAGATTAAAGGGGCGTGGCGAAACGGAATGAGCTTCAGACTAACTTTCATTATAACCACGTGTACCGGACTGAACTTGCTTGTCTAGGAAAGGCGAGGTTACCTTTTGACTGACTTCTTAAAAGGCAAAGGAAGTAATCTTGACTCTTCACACTGTTTGTCTTTATGAATAAAGGCCGTGGGTACAGAAATTAACGCTTGCAACCCTAATGCTTATCGCTACAATAGGCACCAGGTTTTGTGTCTTCTCTAAGTCCTTGCCTGAATATTTTACCCCATCGAGAACATTTAAACTTCCTTTTACAAACATGGTTTTGTTCAATGTTTTTTTTTTTTTCTTCCAAGTAGTAAATTACTTAAGAATATCACGTCTACCTTCCCAAGCCTTACATAGAGTAAGCACTGGTTTAAATGCTTTGTCTGGTCCTCCTGAATAATACAGCACTATTGTGAAGTAGTACCATTATTCTTTGTTTCTTTTCAAAAAAATAACTTTTTATTGTGATTTGGGTGAAATTTTACGAAGCAGATGCATTTTACATGCAACAGTTAATATGCGTTTTGGGACACTGATCCCTGCAAAGTCTCAGCTGTCCTCTCACTTCGTCTCTCTGGTTCCCCTTTGCCTGTGTCCTTGCCTATGCATTCCTGCCTCTCTAGCTTTCTCTCTGTGCAAATGCTGCCTTTATGGCCCATTGTTGTTGTTGTTGTTGTTTGCCGTCCAGTCGGACCGGACTCATAGCGACCCCTTGGGTTTCCGAGGCAGTATCACTACGGAAGTAGATTGCCCCATCTTCCTTCCGAGGAGTGGCTGGTGGATTTGAACCGCCAGCCTTCTGGTTAGCAGTCAATGGTCCATTATGCTTTATTAAATAAGGAAATTGAGCTACACAGCAGCTAACTACTTTACCCACAGTTAGACACCTGGGAGAATCAGGGAAAGTTGTGCACTTGATCACAGCACTACACTGTGCTTTAAGGAGCAAATTACATGGTTTTATTTAGCTAATTTACTTTCATTGAAACATGAAATCATGTTAAATTGAAACTATACCGGAAAATAAGGACAGATAAGCAGTTTCCACTAATATTATATTTCCAGACTTTCACGTCAGGGTTAGTCCAGTTAAATTGATTCAACGTTCCCCCCTCTTTTATATATTAAGAAGTGGCCTAGTGTAGCGGGTAAGAGCTGGGATTTCCTGTCTTAAAATTCCAGTGCACAATAATGTGACCTCAGGCACATTATTTAATCTCCGTCTCTGTCTCCTTATCTTTAAAATAAGGATGATTATATCTCCTAGGGTTATCAAGAAGCTCTGGTAGTGCAATCCTTAAAGCATGAGGCTGCTAACCAAAAGGTCGGTGATTCAAACCCTTTAGGAGCTCTGAAGGAGAAAGATGAGGTAGTTGGCTTCATAAAGATTTGTAGCATTGGAAACCCCTATGGCAGTTTCACTCTGTCCCATAAGGTCACCAGGAGTGGGAATGGACTCCATGACAGTAGGTTTTCTCACATGGATAAAGAATTCACAGGTATTGTAATGAAATGTGCAAAGATCTGGAGTTAGAAAACCAAAAGGGAAGAACATACTTGTAATTTCTCAAGCTGAAAGAACTGAAGAAAAAATTCAAACCTTGAGTTGCAATATTGCAAGATTCTATGGGCAAAATATTGAAAGATGCAGGAAACATCAAAAGAAGATGGAAGGAATACACAGAGTCACTGTACCAAAAAGAATTGGTCAATGTTCATCCATTTCAGGAGATGGCATGTGATCAAGAACCAATGGTATTGAAGGAAGAAGTCCAAGCTGCCCTGAAGGAACTGGTGAAAAAGGCGGCTTCAGGAACGGATGGAATACCCATTGAGGTGTTCCAAAAAATGGATGCTGCGCTGGAGGCGCTCACTCATCTATGTCAAGAAATTTGGAAGACAGCTAGCTACCTGGCCAACTATCTAGAAGAGATCCATATTTGTACCCATTGCAAAGAAAGTTGATCCCACAGAATGTAGAAATTATTGAACAGTATCAAATTATCAAACAGCAAGTAAAATCTTGCTGAAGATAATTCAAAAATGGTTGCAGGAGAAAAAAAAAATGGTTGCAGGAGTATATTGACAGAGAACTTCTGGAAATGCAAACTGGATTCAGAAGAGGACATGGAATGAGGAATATCATTGTTGATGTCAGGTGGATCTTAGCTGAAAGTAAAGAATACCAAAAAGATGTTTACTTGTGTTTCATTGACTATGCAAAAGCATTCAACTGTGTGGATCATAAGAAATTATGGATAACAATGAGAAGGATCAGAATTCCAGAACACTTAGTTGCACTCATAAGCAACCTGTACATAGAACAGATGACTGTAATTTAAACAGAAAAAGAGGATACTGCATGGTTTAAAATCAGGAAAGGAGTGCATCAAGGTTGTATCCTTTCACCATACTTATTCATTCTGTATGCTGAGCCAATAATCTGAGAAGCTGGAGTATATGAAGAAGAATGTGGCATCAGGTTTGGAGGAAGACTCATTAAAAACCTGCAATATGCAGACAACACAACTTTGCTTGCTGAAAGTGAGGGTGACTTGAAGCATTTACTGGTGAAGATTAAAGACTACAGTCTGAAGTATAGATTACATTTCAACATAAAGAAAACAAAAAGCCCTCACAACTGAACCAATAAGCATCACAATAAATGGAGATTGAAGTTGTCAAAGATTTCATATTACTTGGCTCCACAGTCAACACCAATGAAAGCAGCAGTCAAGACATCAGTATTGAACTGTTCAAATCTGCTGCAAAAGACCTGTTTAAAGGGCTGAAGAGCAAAGATATCTCTTTGAAGACTAAAGTGCACCTAACCCAAGCCATGACGTTTTCAATTGCCTCATATGCATGTGAAAGCTGGACAACGAAAAAGGAAGACCAAAGAAGAGTTGATGCTTTTGAGTTGTGGTGTTGGAAAAGAATACTGAAAGTACTATGGACTGCCAGAACTAACAAATCTATCCTAAAAGAAGTGCAGCTGGAATCCTCCTTGGAAGCAAGAATGGCCAAAATTCGTCTCACCTACTTTAGTCATGTTATCAGAAGGCACAATTCCCTGGAGAAGGATATCATACTTAGTCAAGTGGAGGATCAATGAAAAAGGGGAAGGCCCTCAATGAGATGGATTGACACAATGGCTGTAATGACAGGCTCAAGTGTAGCAAGGATTGTGAGGCTGGACAGGACCAGACAGTATTTCATTCTGTTGTACATCAGGTCACTATAAGTCAGAGCCAACTTGATGGCACCTAACAACAACAAAGAATTCAGCATATCTTTGAATTCCATATAAAAATTCATTCAACAAAATGTTCACTTACATTAATGCAGAATATAAGCAATATCATGAAATCTATAATATATACAGAAGAAAAAACACAAACCACAACTCATTGCTATAAAGCCAATTTCAATTCATAGTGACCCCATTAAGCCTCCAAGGCTCTAATCCTTACAGAAGCATATTGCCTCATCTTTCTTCTGGGGAGCAGTTGGTGGATTTGAACCACCAACCTTTTGGTTAGTAGCCAGATGCTTTAACCACTACACCACCAGAGCTCCTTAATGTATATAGAAGGGAGTATAAAACAGATACTTACAGTGTAAATGAACACCTGAGAAGTTTAGGAAATAGAATATTCCCAGTACCTGGCTTAGAAGCCTCCTGTGTTACCCTTCCCAGCTGCATTCCCTTGCCTCACCCCAGTGGTAATCACAATCCTGACCTTTCTGTTAAACATTTTTTTTTGCTTTCAGTATTAGTTTGCCATCTTAGGATTTCTAAATATTATGTTGTTTAGTTTTTAAAACCTGTGTACAAGCATAAATCTAACTGTGAAGAAAGCTAAGTGCAGCCTCTCAAGAGGAAATGTACTTGTATTTTGTCATAGTCTGACTTCAAGTTCCCCAAGAAATGTATATGAGCCTCTTATGGGGATGTAAGTGGACAAGGTTAGGGAAGAGCTGTGCTTGACCGTCTGCTTCACAGTCTCACCATCTCCACTACTGCTTTTAGAATAGGTCAAGGAATGGCTGAAATAAGTATACTCCAGTGATCCAAGTAAAGAGGAAGAGCAGTTTAAATATAAGCACAACCATGAAAGCATGTAAACCAGCAACCTCACACCTTTATCTCCCCTAATTTTAGATAGTCAATTTCTAATTTGTCCATCCCTATCAAACCAGTACTCTTAGGAGACAAGCATATTATTTTCTCTCTGAATAATTTTCTGTTCCAGTTGGAACTTTAAGAATCTGCATCCATAAGCAGAGTCTAGTCCAGAGCAAACCATCAAATTGCAGCAATTTACATTATAGTGTCAAACATACCTTCTCTTCATACGGTCAGGTTCTAGTCAGCTCAGCCCTAGCCACCCTAGCTAAGTCATGGGAACCAGCTCCAAGCTTGGAAGTTCACACTCCTCCCTTTCCTTCAGACCACCCACCCCTTCTTTCTCTCATCCCTAGGCCCCATGGTTCAATGCCCGGAGGCACTGAAGTCCCTAAACTCCCTGCATCTGGTGGGAGTCATAAAGACCATGACTAAAAAAGCCATACCAAGTAATTCACTGCACCACACCTTCTTTTATAAACCAGGATCCTGGACAACAAACCCAAGCAAAGTACTAAATTCCCAGGCTACTTGGCAAATAGAATAGCTAGAGATGTAAGTAGAAATCATTAAGTAGGGCTTCTTGGAAAGCCATTGGTTCTTTTTTCTCCTTGGCCTACTTCTCCTGCCTGAATTGTAATTTTATGACTTGAGTACTGAATTCATACACTGAGCATAGTGGGAAAGACAGAAAAAGCCTCAGGATTCAATGACGCTGT